TCTTTATGAGGGGTTTTGCCCCTGTTGGGGCTCAGGCCTTCGTTGTTGCCAACGGGGCATCCTGGCCTGTGGTTCTGGAACGGCGGGGAACAAGGTCCGCATGCTGCGTGAGGCCTATACTGCTTGCGCGCCGCGATAATGTCTCGCAACTGAGTCCGCGCTTCTTGAATTTCAGGGCGGCGGACATTTGTTGCAAGCTGATAGCCTCCGCGGATGGCCTTGCCATCACTGTCCCTATAGGCAGGGTTGCCCTTGCCGAAGGCCGAGTGTTCCCCTTTCGGCGTCTTGGGTCGTTGTGCGGAAGTAGCTGGCCACCTCTCCTGAGAGCGTGTTCTTTTGGGCCAGCCTGGCTCCACTCACGAGGAAGTCGAGCCTGTGGATGTGGCTCTCCTCTGACGCGCGTATGGGAACGAGACCTTCTGGTGTTCTCATCAGAAGAAGCTGCCGAAGCAGCAGGAGCGGCACCCGGTGGAGGTGCCTGAGGAGGCTCCTGTGCGATCCCAGATGGATCGTCCGATGGAGGCAGGTCTCCCTGCTGGGTGGAGCTCGGCGCAAATGGTGCTTGTGCCGATGGTGATGATGATTCAGACTCGTCAGGATCGAAGTCAACCTCTTCCTCACAATTCACGTCCATCATGAGGATGGTGACGTCATCCTCATCTAACCCGCAACCATCGCCTTCTACTTCTTCTGATGTCGAACTACCGATGATGATGGCCATTGGCGTATCTGGTACAGGCAGGTTTCCCTGCATAGCCGGCGTCTGTGCGTCGCTCGGCTGTCCCGGGGTAGGAGGCACTGTTGTCGGCTCAGGCTCGTTGCCGAGCACAGGCTGCCCAGCAATGTTGCGCATGGCCGTATGGTTTGGCCTCATTCCCACCGCCTGGAGACCCCATCCTGGCGGAGGAAGATCATGACCGCGCATAGCAATAGCCATTTCTAGAGCATTACGCCATCTACCACGGGAGTATATCAAGTGTCTCTGCACGTCCTGAGGATGCACGCTGTCAATGAGAGTCAGAGCTGCCAACAACAGCTCTGCGCTACCACAAGCATCAGTATCCTGTTCTATCATAATGTCAGCTTCGATATGTTCTTGACTCTCAGGATAACCAGTAATAAGTATCTCATGCATCCTCATGAGGGTCTGCAAAAGGGTGCGTGGTCCATATTCGCCTGGAGCAAGCGAACCAGGAGGTATGAACGGAGTATCTGGTTCGCCTGCAATGAAGGCCTGAACAAATGCCTGAGACTCCATTTCAATTAAGTCTTCAGTGGTCTGGGGATATTCTCCCATCAAAGACGGCCTGTTTCCAGGCGGGATTTCGGGCGGAGGTTCGAGGTTTCGTTGAACCTCGGAAGGCGAAGCCTCTATAGTGGTGTCCTCGTCGTCGCTCTCGTAGGCCATGATGTTGCCTGGGTTCCCGAACATCCAGTCGAAGAAAGAAAGAGGCTGGTTTCCCAGCGTACCGTGGTCCACGGGAGTGAGCTCGTTATTGCCCATAACGAACCGGCGGACGTACTCGAGGTAGTACGCGTACAATCCATGACCATACGCCTCGAGCTCGTCGACGTTGTCCATGCCAACAACCCAAGTGAAAAATATCTGCTCCATAGCCTCAAAGTCCTGGAGGCTCAGATACTCAATGGATGGTTCACTTGAGCCAAAATGGACTTCGGTCGACCTGCCCTTTCCATTTCCCTTCACTGGACAATCTCGCACAAGATGATCGGAACTACCACATTCATGGCATTTAAGAACCTGGCCGTCTCTACCTCGCGGGTTTCCCCGCCTACCTTTGCCTTTTCCTGAGGTCTCTCTACGGCCTTTACCACGGCCTTGTCCCCCAAAGAATATCTCATCATGTTGTTCATCTGAGAGCCTCTGGAGAAATGCCGCGATGCCTCGTCCGTTCAACCTCCGACGACCTAACTTGCCTTTACCCTTTCCTTTAAAACTTCTACGTATCCTCCTTCTAACACGACGCACTGGTTTTCGTGTGAACCTCCTCCACCTCTGTTTAGCCTGTTGCAATAACAAGAACAAATGTTCAGCACGCTGATTGTCGTTATCCATATTCATAATATCTGGCCAATCTAAAGCTTCAACACCATCTGATGATATAGTGTCTGTATCGGTGCCGGAGTCGAAATCCTCGTCTCCCAAGTAGGTGGATACACCGTCGGTTAGGGGGTTTGATTCCCCCATAAAGAACGGTGTGGTTGTGGCTCTCTAGAAGGAGGGCTGGTTGCCCAGCTTGGTTGTGATCGATCCCCTGCTAATGACGCAGTGGATTCACCTGGGTCATCGGCCCATATGCTTGAGGGCCCGTTTCCAGGCTGGGCTTCAGTAGTCAAGGTAGTGTAGAAATTTCCACTACCAGATCCCCTTCCCCTTCCAAACACAGATCCTATGTTACCAGGAGACCGTTCGGATAGGTGGCCTATCGAACGCATCCTCTCCAGCAACTCATCATACTGTTGTTGTGTTCGGGGGATTTGGTGATTGAGTGGCTGTAAGAGTTGCGTGGCTCGCTGGTTGCCGACGCCTAAGGCGCGGAATAGGATAGTGGTTAGCAGTTGGAAGTTGGGAAGGTCGAATCCCACCGACTGTGCCTCAAGTCGGGCCATTTCGAATCGGGTAAGGGTGACATCGATTCGTTCCCCGTGAGGCACGTGGAAGTCGATGAGTTGTGTGCCGGAAGTGAGCTGTCGCTCATCTTCCAGGCGTTCGAACTTCATGCTTAGGAGGAACATGATGTAGGTCACTGGGTCTGTGTGGACCCCATCGATGTCAGCACCATAGTTTATAATGTCAGGCGGTACCCTCATGGCGAGTGTCCTCGCTAGGCCACCTAGGCCGCGTTGTATTGCGGCCGCTTGGGCCTGTGGCGTCATACGTCCGCTTGTAACGTTGAGCCATGCGTTGACCTCGTAGATGTACTCACGAAAAGGTACATTACCTTGAGGGTCCCAATATGGGCCATGTGTTTGCCCATCGGTGCTGTTTTCTCCACGACGCATGTGTCCGATTGCTGCCCCCAGCGCGAACCATATAATAGCGAAAACGACTAGCCCGAGAATGTGTAAAGAAGGACGGTTATGATGCGCGTTGTCGCGCTGGGGTAGCGCCTTGTCGAGTCTTCGAGGCGCTCTGTCTGGCGGGTCTCCCCGCCCCTGCTTCAAGTATTGCGCTGTTAGCTCGTTGCCGAGCGGTTGGTGGTAACGCAATGATGAAGCGTATATGGTACCAGTCTGGTCGTCTAGACGTCGTACCTCTCGTGTTGCTTCTTGCTCTTGGATAGATCCTCGTAAACGTACTGGGGGTGGTGGCGCAGGGTGGTAGATGGTCGCGAAGATCGCGCCGAAGAATATGAGGCTAAGAAGAGCAAGAGCTGACCACACGAGAGTGCGGCCAGCTCCGCTACCAAGTCGAAAGTGAGCCTGGTAGCTCAAATATGGCATATAGCCTGGCAAATTGCGCCCATCGCTCTGCTGTGAAGGTACAGTATGAGGGGTGGACGGATAAGATAGGATAAGATCGATGTAATGATCTTTCCAACACATAGCGAACACTCGCGGTGTCCGGGCAAATAGGGCGCGCGTGCCTTGGGCCAAAGGCAACGGCGCGCGCGAGCTATGCTCCCGATACTATAACATCTCCCAAAGGCCTACCCTGAAAGTTGTGCCCGTCAGGCACGGCGGGGGAGGCTCTAGAGATGATTCTGGCGGGCGGCAAGCTTTTCGACGATGTGCTCCACCATTGGCACTTTGCGCATAATAAATAAAAGAAGACATCGTTCCTTGCCTCGGGCCCCATGTCGGAAATCGGAAGCTCCAGGGAGTTGGCCCTCCTTCTCAGGGACAAGTCGTGTCAGATGCCCGCCACCTCGGAGCTCGCTGCACCATGGCGGGCAGTGACAAATTGGAGATCTCGAATCGCGTGCACCCTGTGACCGCGGGGTGGTGCCAGCTGGGGAAGTTCTGGAACGAGAGGGGGCTCTGGAAGCTCAAGCGTGAAATCTTCCTAGGGACAATGATCGAGCCTGGGATCTCGGGTCTGGAGGCCGTCGTTCTGGAGAACGCCGAGGAGAAGTAGCTGGACTCCCAAACCGTGAAGTATCTTCGTGCCTTGATGCAGGGTCGCGGCAAGACGATCCACGTGGACTCGCACATGACTGCGATGAGTAACGTCTAGGTCCTCAAGCATTGGAAGATACTTCCCGTGAGAGCAGAGCTAGCGGTCAGACGAATTAGATGGCTTCAGAGCATGCGTCGACACAAACAAGCACATCGTCAAACCCTGGTCGCCATTTTCGGACACATCCCGAACGAACCGTCTACCCTGAAGGAAATCGGCCGCACCAGAGCTACTGCGAACCCATGGGCCGATCAATTTTCCAGGGACCTCGTCCTCTTCAGGGACATCAGCGGCACGGAAAGCTTCTGGAAGATCTGGACCGACACGAACAAGTCTTGGAAGGCCCTCCTCACCCCGAACTCCGAGTCCGAACAAGCTTTTCTTAGACTAGGTCCAAGCATTCTACGAGCAGCAGCACACGCCCCAGGGAGCCCCATATGGCCTCGCTTCTACGACACCCCCACGGACATGATAGATGTGAACCCGAAGGTATTTAAATGCGAACTTCTCGGCCACGGAACTGGACGAGGTTGTGAAATGACATTCCCGAATTATCGACAGCTAACTACTCATCAAGCCTCTCGACACAGACTTCGACTTACTATCCCGAGCAGTGTGATCACGAACCAGTGCCCTAATTGCTACACGGTCCTGAAAAGCCGAGCTTGCGCCCAAAGTCACCAGATCTTTGCCTACGCCCAGGGCCGATGTCGTATGGGACGGAACACTATGAAATGGCCCTTGACAAACGTGACTGGCCCCACGTGCGCCCTCTGGTCCGCAGCCTTTTCAGATCTGGCCCTACTCTACGAACGCAGCAGAATCGAGCACCTTCCGAGGCCAAGCCCGCGTCTCGACCATGCCGGCGCTGCTGCAGGTCGGCAACGGCGACACCGAGATGCCCTTCGAGCGCAACCAGCGCCAGAGAAAGGACGGGGACGACGAGGAAAACAAGAAGAATACGTACGAGGCGGCGTAACAACAGCTCCCCACTCACACCAAAAAGTTGATGACGCTCATCGTGAAACAACTACTCCACTGTGCTCAGCAGGACCGCGACATGAGCAGCGTCATCTTCGACACCTGGGTCTTCAAGAACGACAGCCCGCTCATCCTTCGCATTCAGGAGCAGACAGCCGCCTACGGCAAGGCCACCAAGGAGAAGGGAAAAAATCACGACCTCGGACCTCCACAGATCTACGCGATGGGAGGCCTACGTACAGCGGTGAAGGAGCTTCAACTAGAGGACCCGCTCAAGACACAGGTCACGAAAATGTTCACGGACTACGACAACTACGACAACGAGCAGAAGTCCGAGCTGGTGCTCTTCTGCAAGGTCGACCGCATGTACGAGAAGGAGAAGAAGAGGCTGACGCTCGCGGTCCGCGAGCCACTATTTCGGGGGTACCTGATGCAGGCGCTGAAGACGACCTCAGCCAAGCGGAAGTACGGCAGAGCACCAGCGACGCACATGGAACGGGAGCTTCAGGAATGGGTGGAACAGCTCTTGATGTGATTACCGAGGACACGCGAATGGGTGGGAAAGCTCATGGCGGGATTACTGATAAAAAGGCTTCGGGCGGGGACGAGGCTGCAGCAATGAGCGAGAGTATTCCAGCTGCAGCTTCAGCACTGTGTGAGAGTGAGGCGACCCCAGTTGAGACCAGGAGCATGCTTAGCCCGTCCCCCGTCTCGGATCTTCGAGTGTGCACGATGTTCCCGGCCACTAAAAATGTTTTCCCTGGTAGTCGTAGTTTTGACAGTTTAGTATCGAGCAAGCACGTTTTGCAACAAACTAGAGTTTGGCATCGATCGCAAACTTGATCGTCCCGTTTTCTGGTGTGATCCCCTCGATCTCTCCACACGTCAGAGGTCGTGGGTCTCAGGCTGGGGCTCAGTCGGGCCTGACGGCTGCGAGACCACCACATAGGGTGGGGTTTTTTAGGCCCGCCATAAAGCTGGGACATCGCTCCGTTTTGAAGGAGAGTTGCGAGCTGCGTTTCGTGCACTCGCTTGTGATGCTTGAACCTCGGGGCTAATGATGTGAATGAATGAATTTTCTGGGGAATCGACGATTACTTGTGTCTGTGTGTTTTTCCCCTCCTGATAAACGTAGCCCAAGCCACTGGGCTGCGGAACCGCCGACGTCTCGCGGCCTCCGCTCGGGGGGCCGCGGGCGGACGCCTGCGCCGTGGCCAGCTCTGCCCTCAGCGACTCCGCCGCGGCCGCCGCGGCGGCGTGGGCGCCCGCGGCCGCCGCGGCGTCGGCCTGGCGCCGGGACGGCCCCGACCTCGACGTCGACCCAACGGCGACGACGACCTCAGGCTCGCCGAGGGGTCTCCGACGCCACGACCTCGACGTCGACCCGACGACGACGACGACAACAACGACGACATTGCGCAGCCACTACATTATGCATGAATGCTAGCGTTGGACCACAAGGTACTTACGACCACCCCCTCCAAATGGGACCAAGGCCCACCCAGGGTCTCCCCCAAGGCCCCCCCGGCCATCGCCGCCGACGTGCACATCAAACCCCATACCTCGCATCAACCGTTACACCATCACACATTACCCATGGCTCACACACACGCACCCCTTCGTGTTCGATGCGGCTTCGCAGGATAGGCATCGTCGAAGCAGCGGGTCACGGTTTCGCACGCGATGACAACCCTCGACATCGGTCAGAGCTGTCGGTGGTCAGTCGTCTCAGTGTTCTGTGCGATGTCCGTCAGTGGTCGGTCAGAGGGCTGTCAGTGGTCTGTCAGTGATCTGTCAGTGGTCTGTCAGCGGGCTGTCAGGGATCTGTCTAGAGGTCTGTCAGTGGTCCGTCAGAGGTCTGACAGTGGTCTGTCAGCGTCTGTCAGTGTCTGTCGGTGGGGACGGTCGAAGTACGTTGTGGTCACACCCACGAATCGTACTGTGACCCCCCCCCGACAGACACTGACAGGCCCCCTGAGAGACACTGGCAGACACTGACAGGCCACTTGCAGACCACTGACAGAGCACTGACAGACCACTGATAGACCACTGACAGACCACTGGCAGACCACTGACAGACCACTGATGGCCCACTGACCGACCACTGACAGACTACTGACAGCCCACTGACCGACCACTGACAGGCCACTGCCAGCTCGCTGACAGACCACTGACAGACCACGGACAGACCCCTCACAGACCACTGACGGACGACTGTCAGCCCACTGACAGCCCACCGGCAGCTGGGCCACTGGCAGGCCACTGGCAGGCCACGGACAAACCCCCGCAGCGACCCGCGGGGGGGCACGGGGGGCAGGCGGGGGGGGGGGCCCGGCGGAGTCCTGCGGAGGGGCCCGAATCGAGCCCCACGACTGGCATGATGACACACCGCGTTCCAATCTGTGGTCCCACCCCAGCATACACAGAAGAAGAAGGAGAATACTACTAATAACAAAAAACAAGAATAACAATTATTCACTGCGTGGGGACCCCCATATGTGCATCTCCTTGCTGGCGCTCCCTTGGTGGTGGGACTCGGTGAGGACGAATCTGGATTTAAGTGTGACTGAGCTGCCTCTCTCTCTCTCTCTCTGCTCTCTCTGTCTCTCTCTCTGCCTCTCTCTCTCTGCCTCTCTCTCTTTCTCTGCCTCTCTTTCCCTGCCTCTCTCTCTCTCTGCCTCTCTCTCTGCCTCTCTCTCTCTGCCTCTCTCTCTTTCTCTGCCTCTCTCTCTGTGCCTCTCTCTCTCTGCCTCTATCTCTGCCTCTCTCTCTCTCTTTCTCTCTCTCTCTCTCTCCTCTCTCTCTTCTCTCTATTCTCTCTATTCTCTCTCTGCTCTCTCCTCTCTCTCTCACTCTCCCTCTCTCTCTCTCTCGCAATCTCTCTTCTCTTCTCTTCTCTTCTCTTCTCTTCTCTTCTCTCTCTCTCTCTCTATATCTCTCTCTCTCTCTTTCTCTCTCTATCTCTCTCTCTCTCTCTTCCCTCGCTCTCTCTCTCTCTCTCTTCTCTCTCTCTCTCTCTCTCTTTCGCTCTCTCGCTCTCTCTTGCTCTCTCTCGCTCTCTGTCGCTCTCTCTCGCTCTCTCTCTCTCTTTCTCTCTCGCTCTCACTCGCTCTCTCTCGCTCTCTCTCGCTCTCCCTCGCTCTCTCCCGCTCTCTCTCTCTCTCTCTCTCTCTCTCTCTGCTCTCTCTCTCTCTCTCTCTCGTCTCTCGCTCTCTCTCTCTCTCTCTCTCTCTCTCTCTCTCTCTCTCTCTCCCTATCTCTCTATCTCTCTCTTCTCTTCTCTTCGCTTCTCTTCTCTCTCTCTCTCTCTCTCTCTCTTCTCTCTCTCTCTCTCTCTCCTCTCTCTCCCCCCACCCTCTCTCTCAACTTTCTCTCTCTCTCTCTCTCTCTCTCTCTCTCACTCTCTTCTTCTCTCTCTCTCTATATCCTCTCTCTCTCTCGCTCTTCTCTCTTCTCTCTCTTCTCTCTCTCTCTCTCCTCTCTCTCTTCTCTCTTCTCTCTTCTCTCGCCTGTCTCCTCTCTCACTCCCCCTCTCTCTCTCTCTCACCTCCGCTCTCTGTCTTCTCTCTCCTCTCTCTCTCGCTCTCGTTCCCTCTCTCCTCTCCCTCCTCCTTCGCTTCCCTCTCTCCTCTCTCATCTCTCTTGCTCTCTCTCTCTCTCTCTCTTTCTCATCCTTCTCTCTCTCTCTCTCTATCTTCCTCTCTCTCTCTCTCTCTCTCTCTCTCTCTCTCTCTCTCTCTCTCTCTCTCTTCCTCGCTCTCTCTCTCTCTCTCTCTCTCTCTCGCTCGCGCTCAGTCTCGGCTCGAGAGTGCCCGGCACTCAGACCGCAGCCGCGACGCGAAGCGCCCCGCCTCGGAGCCAGACTCCCAGGCCTCGCGAGACCGGAGGGGTCCCAGCAGGACCCTACTGATTCGCGTCACCTCTCCTCAGTGCGACCGCCGCCATGGCCCCCCTGTCTGCGCCAGGCCGCCACCGCACTTTCACGTCTCACCATGCTGTACTACCTGAGCTGCCTGGCCATGGTACTGTACATAGGCACCAGGACCTTGTCTTCCGCGTGCCCGTCCTGCACGGGCGCGACCTCCCAGTGCCACCTGGACGCGCCCCACACGTGCCGCGTGCGGATCTTCACGAAGATCTACGTATACTTGGGCATGACGTGTTTCACCTGCGCGCCGAGCTGCGCGCCTACCGAGCCGACCTCCGCGCTCACCTACCAGGCACCGACGCCAACACAGACGACTCCGTCCAGCACCTGCTCACCTCGGTACGGCCAGGTATCCGGGGGGGGTCGGGCTCCCGACTGCTGAGGGTGACGGTGCTGAGTGCGGTCGGGCTGTTCCCACGCCTGCCGTCGTCGCGCCGTGCGTGACAAGCAGTCGGCCCCCAACCTCCCCCCGAGAGCGCCCCCGCGGCAACGTAGGCACCGCTCTCAACTTCATCGGCATTATCTTGCTGAACTGCGGGCACGGCCTCGGCTCCACCTTCGGCGTCGTTCTCGGCACCGTCGGTCCGCAGACAGCATCGACGCCAGCTCTGACGGCGGCACTGCAGTCAGCATCGACGCCGGCGAGTGGTACGGATTCGGCACCACCCTCGCCCCCTCCCTCACCCCGCCCCGCAGGAGGAGGAGGAGACGATGACGACCACGACGACCTTGACGACTCATTACCGGCGCCGGCGCCGAGGTCAGCACCGACGCTCCCACCGACGGCAGATGCGACCACAGTTTCGCTGACCCCGACGGCAGCATTGACGGCGGCGAGGACGGCTCCGACGGCAGCACCGCTAGCATCACAGACTCCGACGGCGGCGTCGATAGCATCGCCGGCTCCGACGGTAGCATCGACGGCAGCGACGCCACCACTGCCAGCGGCGGCTCCGACGTCAGCATCGACGGCAGCGACGCCAGTACTGCCAGCGACATCTCCGACGGCCGCAAGAGACGTCAGTACCACAATCAGCCACTCCTGCGCTACCTGTATGGCCACTCGCTCGGCGGCGCCTTCAGGCCCGCCGAAGCCTGGTGACCTACAGACCTCTCCTCGGCATCATCGTCACTCAGAGTTGCAGCCAGCTTCGACGCCAGCTCCGACGTCCGTATCGAGGCCAGCACCGACGCCAGCCCCTACGACAGCACCGCCAGCGTCAACACCCATGCCTGCGCCTACGCCGGTACCTACGCCAGAGTTGCAGGCCGCATCGACGCCAGCTCCGGCGTCTCCATCGAAACCAGCACCGATGACAGCTCCTATGCCAGCACCGCCAGCGGCACCAACCACTATTTTTCCCACCCCGCCGACGACCCTGGGTGTCCCTAGGCTAGCACCGCCGACCACCGCATCCATTGAGGCGCCCACGTCCACATCAACGACAGCACCGACGGCCGCATCGAGGCTAGCCTCGATGAGTCCTCAGCCAGTCACTGCTCTGACGCCTCGTCCATGGCCGCGGGCGGGAGTGCAGCCTTCAAAAAAAAAAAAAAACAAAAACACAAAAAAAAATCACAAACCACGAAACAAACAATCCTTCAAAAAAATCACCAAAAAAACCACAAAAAAACAAAAATCAAAAAAAAAAACAAAACAAACATAACAAAAAAAAAAAAGAACAAACAAAAACACAAGTCGCACTCTCCGCTAGCGGGGGCGCCATGTCATGTCATGCCACGTCCCGCCTCGTCGGCTCCCCATCGTCTGTGGTCACTTCTGCGCCGACCTACATCGGGACGCCACCACGACCGGGTCGGGACGGTCCGCATCGGCACGCGAAACAGCTTCGGGCGGACCGCCTCGACGTCAGCAGTGCAGACTCCGGCGTGGCCGGCATCCACGTTGCCACGACGTGGCTCTACGGCAGCACCCCAAACGGCCTCCACAGCGGTATCCACGATAGCACCCATGACTGCATCCACGGCGGCATACTCGGCCGTGGCTCCCGCGCTCACGTCCGCACCGACGCCAGCATTGACGACAGGGTCGGCCTCAGTATCGTCGGCACCGACAGTGCGGCCTTTAACGACGAGATCGACAACCATCAGGCACACCCAGCGGCTAATTGGGGCCGCCATAACCACGCCGTTCACGTCCGCCACTCGACACCTAAAGCCTGCGCCACGGCCCGCATCGACCCCAACAGCGACGTCAGCACCGACGACTGCATCGACGCCTGCCTCGACGAGCCCTCGCCCATTCACTGTCCTGACGCCTCGCCCAGGGCCGCTGGCGCGGGTGCCGTCTTCAGGCGCACCCTGCGCTAGTGGGGCCGCCATGCCATGTTATGACACG